CCGTGGGCGCCAGCTCCACCGCGCTCTGCCGGGGCCCAGGCTCACGCCTGCATCACGCCCCGATCTCACTCCTCCCTCTCAGGTTCAGGTGGAAGAGCTGCTCTTGTGGGGTTTCCTTTGCATGTGGCTTCTGTTTTGCTTTCTCGTGATCCTTTAATTTTTCTCTGAGTGTTAGAAAATTCTTTTAACAGAAATGGTTTCAACAATAGTGTGGGTTTATCTCCCTGTTAGGCAGTTCTTTGAAAAAATAAAAGCACCGTCTCTGCATCGTGGTCTTCTACCCACCTTCTGACATTGGGTAGGTTAGCAGAAAGGTGGTTGCTCTGGCAAGGCCAAGTTGTTTGAATATATAATTTCTTTGTTGTCCCAAAATGAATTGCTGGGGATAACAGATACTTGGCTGATTTCATGGCAGAAGTTGAACACCCTTGATGAACTTTTTGTGAGTGAGTAAATGTCTGTTTCTTCGTTCAAATTAAAATACTAACCCTTTACTGAGATGGTGGAAGGCATGGCTATTGGGGGTTACAAATAGTGCCCTGACTTTGCTAAGGGGAAAAAGCTTGCTCTCAGAGTCAAAAAATTGAATGTTCGGGATACACTCTTCCCCATCCTGCTTACTTCTTCAAAAAAAAAAAAACTGCTTCAAAAAAAAAAGGGAGGGAAGGAGAGGCAGGATCCCCTCTGCACCGATGGCATTCCAGCAACACTCTTATCCTCCAGGTTGTGCTGCAGCCTCGGCAGTCATTAATCTTTGGGCGCTGCAGCCTTGCTGCGCTAGGAGAGAGGGCTTGGAGGGGAGTGGGGCTAAGGATGCTGTGAGTCACGCTCATCCCTGCGGGAATCAACGCAATCAAGCCAGGGACAGGCTGCCCCGAGAAAAGAAATGCAAAAGGGCTCAATGCAATGCCACGTCCCCCACCCCGTACCTGTCGGCTGGCGGGATCTCGCCTCTTTCAGGTAGTAGAGGGCCTTGTTGAAGTCACCCAGGTGGTAGAATGCCACTCCCGACCGATAGAGCGCCTTGAAGTTCTCGCCTTCCTTCTGAAGCACTTTGAGGCAGTACTCCTTGACACGCTCGTAATTCACCAGCTCGGCCTGGAGCAGGCAGGCTGCAGGGGACGGGACAGACAGACAGACAGGAGAACGTTAGTGCCGTATTTCTCCCTGCTCTTGTGACCTGCGCGGGGGAAGAGAGCAGCTTAGGTGAGGGAAATGACTCAGCCCCGTGATTCAGAAAGGGTGCAGTCATACAGATTGTTTGCCAAACTCAATTGTTCACAATTTAAATACCAATGCTTCTAATTTTGGCACTGTGAAGGGATTTCGTTTGCTGGGGGGG